TTTTCTCTGAGAGATACCCGAGAGCCTAGACGGTACACAGAACGAATCGCTCGTTTTTGCAATACAAATATGGTTTGAATATCTGCCGCTTTACCCCACATGAGAATCCCGTAGGGCATTATACTATGGAAGTAACTAAAGTAAACTAGTCTAGCAGTACTAACATCGGTAAGCTCACGTATTCTGCGGACTGCGTATGCAGCGGAGCTTAATCTGCTGGCCAGGGACGATATATGTGGAAACCACTGAAGTTTACTATCTAAGGTCACTCCCAAGAAGACTGCTTTATTAACAAGGTCTAACTTTTCTCCGTTTATTTCTATGCTTGGACTAGTCGATTTTACGTTAGGTAATTCAAATTTAACACATTTTGTCTTCTTGGCATTAAGCAATAAATTATTAGCATTAAACCAATAAACTACCTTAGAGAGGGTATCATTAATACGGTCATGGTTAATGTCATGTCTGTCTGTTTTAAAAATCAAGGATGTGTCATCAGCAAACAACACTATTTCGCAATGGTCCTTAACAAAGAATGGCAGATCATTAATATAAATCAGAAATAAGAAAGGTCCAAGTATTGAGCCCTGCGGAACACCCATTTTTACTGGAGAACCCAAAGAAGTTACTCCATTTATGTCTACTTTCTGAATTCTACCGTTGAGATATGACGAGACAAGTTTCGACGCCTTGCCATTTACACCGTAATGTTCCAGCTTCCTAATAAGAGTATTATGATCAACGCAATCAAATGCCTTTGAGAGGTCACAGAAAACACCAATAGCGTTCTGGGACCTTTCCCAAGCATCAAAGATGTGTTTTAGTAACGCTACCCCCGCATCGCTAGTCGATCTACCACTAGTAAACCCGTATTGTTCACTATGAAAAATATGATTCCTACCGAAAAAGGACAGTAATTGAGTTAACATAACCTTTTCGAATATTTTACTTAAAGCTGGTAAAATTGAAATGGGCCTATAGTTGCTAGGATCAACTTTCCTACCGCTTTTGAATAAGGGAATAACCTTGCTGTATTTCATTAAATCGGGAAAAACACCTTCGTCAACGCACCTATTGAAAGCTACAGCTAACTGTGGGGAAATGAGATTAATAACTGAGTCTATAACTTTAGTTGATATGCCCCAGAGATCTTCAGTTTTTTTAACATGTATTGACTTAAAAGCTTTTATGATGTCTTGTGGATTAACATGACGAAAATTAAATAAACTGCCACAAACGTTAACATTTTCCTTTAGGAGATCAATAGCAAGTGAAGGGGAGGAATTTAATGATTTTGTAGTGTTCACAGCAATTTCCGAAAAGAACGATTCAAAAGCTTGGGCTACTTTATCTTTAGATTTTATAAGTTTGCTGTCTAATTCTAAAACTATATCTCTATCGTGTAGTTTAACCCTGCCTGACTCTTTATTTATTATGCTCCAAGTAGTTTTAGATTTATTTATCGATTGTCTAATTTTGTCGCTGTGAAACTTAACCTTAGCAGCTACACAAACTTTTTTAAATATTTTCGAATAAATTCTAACATATTCTATAAAATTGGAATTATTATTATAAGTTTTCATAGCATATAGCTCATACAAACGAGACCTACTCTTATGAATACCTACTGTTGCCCAGTCGTTGAATTTAGTCTCTCTATGGAAAGTTAATGTTTTCGATTTAAATATATTGTCAAATTCATTTTTAATTAAACCAAATATCGTGTTATATAAAGTATTTGGATCCTCCGGTATATGGGATAGGGAATTTAAACTATTGCCGATATTATTTTGAAATCTAATTATTCGTTCTGTGGTAATCGGTCTGCAGAGAAATTGGTCTACCTTCTTGCTCATTTTACAATTAAAAGAAGCCAATTGGCCACTATGGTCGGATCTTAAGCAATTAATTATTGATTTAGACACTGCGTCTGTGTTACAAAAGATGTTATCAATACAAGTAGAAGAGGAGGCAGTAATGCGAGTTGGTTCTAAAAAAAGATTAATCAAGTTAAAACTTTGAAATAAATTAATGAGTCTTACAGAAGTAGAACAGTTTTCCAACAGGTTTACATTGAAATCTCCACATATTACTACGTTTTTTTTGGTTGGAAAAATCCGCTTTAAACTGTCTTCCATAATTAATTCAAACTCGTTAAAATTAGCAGAGGGGGGCCTGTATACACATAAGACGACAAACTGATCCAATTCCACACATGAAATCTCAATAGTTCGTTCAGTAGAAAGATTTGTGATATCCTTACGCTCTTTAAATTTTAAGTTACGCTTAATAATAATCATGGATCCGCCTCTACTTAAGCTCTTTCTTATGAACGAACTGACTATTACATAATTTTCTATATTGTTAATGGCTTCGTAATCTTTCAGCCAGTGTTCTGTAACACAAAACACGTCAACGGAAATATCGTGCAAAAAAAGACTTATTTCTAATATTTTGCCAGAAAAGCCTTGAATATTTTGATGTACTACATGGAAACGATTAGACTTTTCTGTTGTCGTGTTTTCAGTTTAAATTATGCTTATTAAAAAGTATACTGTTGCTACTTAAAGTAGGAGCATTGTCGTGGGACTGTGTTATATCTTCTATAACAGCGTCCTTAATATTAAAAGATAGCAAACTAGCTATATGTCTTAGATACCTTAGGGGTAAAAGTAAATTATTCTCAAAAAGTTTGAAGTTCCTTACGAACTTATTAATATCAAAACAAAATATAACGTCACTATGACGGCAAGTCAAATTATGAATGTGCGAATTTATGTTGTATATATACTTATTACGAGCGATGTCTAGGTTAGAGCAGTAAGGGAATGCACTTAGTATGAATTTACACCCACACTTCTCATGAATTCTCAAGAACACGTCAATGCTACTATTTACTTCTTTTTTACTAATGTTAGTACTATCACCTATTATAAGAATCACTGTTGTATATTTATCAAAGTTGCAATCACTTAACAGTGTAATAATTTGACTAAAAGTAGCTCCTGGATAGCAATAGTTGACTACCCTTTGTTTTAAGTGGTTACTAAGGTGGTGGCCTAGTCCTACGCCTATTTTATCAGAAAAAACTACCGTTCTTCTGGATGGCCTGGTCGGAGTTCTAATAGTCTTGGTTGACCGTTGACTGTGTCGAACTTCAACAGTTGTAGTGGAGCAGACACGTTTTCCTGCAGCAACGCTGGCATACGATGCACGTGTTGGTTGCGTTGATGATGTGGGTGGTGGGGACAGAGTCTGATTTGTTTCTACTGGACCATTTGTTTCACTAAGCTCATCGTGAAGAAGGACTTGAGTAAGTTCTCTATACTCAGTACCCAGCTTTAAAAGCTCATTAGTTGCAGCTGAAAGTTCTTCTAGTTGTTTCTGCGTAGAAAGTAGGTCTTTAGTTCGCGATTGAAGATCTAACTCTAGATCTTTCACTTGTTCGGCCATCTTCACCTTGTCCTTGTGTAAATTTAATTTTTCTGATTTTAGTTTCTTAAGGGTGCTGGTGTAATCACAGACACTTGTGTCAACGTATCGTGAGATTATATTATTTTATTTTGTTAGAAAACTTACTTTGCGTCATTAAGAATTAGTTTCATCGAAATAAGAAATAAATCGATAACATCATCATCGATATCAACGGAACGGTGACAGGCGGCCGCCATTACGAAAAGCATCTTTGACTAGAACAGACGTGTTTTGTTTTGTTTGGATTTATAGTGAAAGATCTTATGATATAATTTATAACAGTCACTGGAGTCTCATTTCTATGTCTACTTGGAAAACCTTCCAACACTTGGAACTTGTCAACTTACGTTACAGTGTGACGGGCGTAGTGGCAGATCTTTGGAATTTAAGGCCCTTAGTGGCAGTGTAACTGCTATGTACAGGCGTGTCGCTTACCACCAGGCGAACGACTTGTTCGTCCCGTCACATGGTATCTGAAAAAAGAGGCATAGAGTTGAATTTGGTGTTTGTGCTATTGAAACTATAATACTATAAAAATAGAAAATGGATTATACCCACAAAAGTGGGAATATTTACTTTTTTATATAGTTTTTATCAACGTAACTCACAGTTGCAACTAAAATTATTACCTATTTTTTATGACGTACACGGGGTTATTTTTATTACATTGTGATAACGGCAGTAAAATAGAAACGGTAAGTAATATGCCTTAGTTGGAGTTAACAATTCAATAATATACCTATTAACTCAAAAAGTGTACTTTTTCAGAATCGATGAAAAACGAATTACTCATTTCCTGTGACAGACTATTAAAATTTATATATATTCTAAACAATTTCTTGCTTGCCAAATATATTTTAAAATAAAAGGGAAAAATGATTTCACAATTTTAACATTTTCGTGTAACACATTAGCACATGTTTAGGCCATAGATACGTTTAGACAATACCTATTCTTAGGACTATCGTATTTTTTAAAAAGACCGTTATTTACAGTAAATACATAAACCATTTGATCTATCAAAACAATTTTTCCTGTTTCTTCTCCAGCGACTCGCCTTAACCCTTCCGCGTTAAGATTGCTGTATGCCACTGGCTGGCATAGCTCCGCAAAATACCCGCAGAACTGTAGCCGCCTCATGCGAAAGAGCCGAAATGGATATCGACACTCGGACAATTGTTCAACCCGGGATTATCGGATGGTTCTAACCTGGATTGTTTGTGTGATGTAATTCAAACGATGACCCATCTCACATCATTTGACAATATAATGGCGGCTACTTGTGACGCGGTGTAGGTACTGTTTGCCATCGATACGATAAGAAGAAAGCTAAGTGTGCTTAGCTAAACCGAAACTGATTTTAGGAATAAAAAATAAGTTTAGTAAAACAATAGTAATCGATTCAGTAACTTTGCATTCCAGCACACAGTTGTCAAAGGTCATTTTACCGGTTGTAAACGTATTTCAATTTAGTAATGCTGAATGATTCAGTGTAACAAACGAATATTTCTTTTTATTGTTATATTTTATTTACAATTCAGTCTAAAAATCCGATAACACATTGAACGCTTGTATTGTGTTTTATTTTTAAGAGGTTAAACTCTTGCCGTTTATTAAAAAGAAATAAAAATGTTCAAAATTGGGTCCTTAACGGGATATAGGGTGCAGTCATTTATGACATGTATAGACGTATGCAGTTTACGTGGTTTGCGATTTTTTTTCATATTCTTAGTAGTGATGATTCTCTGCGATCACATATTCTATGAGTGGCTTGACACATCGAGTGGGCCCGAGGTGCCCGTTTTGGCCGTGTACCCTGTCTTCAAAAAGGAGTATGTTTTTAAACATTTTTTATGAGTCTAAGGGACGGGCCGAATAAGTCGCTCACCTGGCGGCAAGTGACACGCCTGTTCATAACAGTTGCAGTACCACTCAGTGCACCAAATCACAAAGATCTGCGCCCGTCACCCTGAGACATAAGTTGACAAATCCTATGTGCTCAAATTACTGCTTGGGCGCAGAAATAGGTGAGGTGACAGTACTTCCCTGAATGAACTTTTTATAAGGCGCTCTACTGCTATTAAAACTTATTTATTGTTACCTAATGATAATATAAATAATGCTCCCAAGGAGATGGTCAGATCAGATTACAAAATCTGATCTGGCCATCTCCTATATAGGAGAGTGTAGCCTTGTGTAGCTATAACTTGAATTTCTAAGTTAACGTGCTTGTGTGAATCTTTAGTAGCAATATCTCTCTTTACCGGTCTTCTTCTTATTGGTGCTTCTTTTATTTTAGGTCTATAATATTGACTTTGAAATAGTATGTTGCCACCTTGACTGCGCTACCCGTAGCCACGTAGAGATCTTCCCTTGTAGTAGTAGTATGCTTCCAGTCGATTTCAGTTAGGGCGATCACATCAGCAGCTTGATTTTGATTGTCTTTTACGATCGGAAACTGCGTCTTTTCCGAGACGAGGCGCATAATTGCGATTCACAACTGGCTGACCGGAAACTTGACATTTCTAATCGGAACAATAGTAGTAGTAGAGAGATATAATGGGAGTCAGGTTCATCTTCTCGCTCGGAAACCCATCTGATTTCGAGACTACCCGATCGGTTTGATTCCGATTGAATCAAAATTAGCATACATATCCGATGTTGGCGGTGTTCGTTAACTCCCATGTGGCTTTCATAGCCAATTTTCTGGGCGAGGATCCACGCACACTGCGGGCATGTGAGCACACCATTTAAAAAATTATAACTGACTATCGCAGACGGCCGGGTTTTCAGTTCGTTACGCTTAAAATCAGGTTCCGAACGCCGTTCAGCCTCAAAGTCACAGTCACATTAGTATTGACGTAACCTGGTGGTAGTTGCTCTTGAAGGATGATAAAACCAGGTGGTAGTGGTTTTTCTGTTTCCACAGTGCATACCTTTTTACCAACACTGGGAAATGCGTTACGCACACCATTCGCCTCGGGGGAACAGTGAGCGGTTACGTGTGTCTCCCAAGCGGTAGCCCCTGTATACCCACTAAAACCCAGCGGTTAACCGTAATGCCATAGCGAGAAGCCCCAGGATCCGCTTGCGAAACTATTGAGACGTCTCGTCGGATGGCCCGCGGGGAGCGGGCTTTGGCCTGCGGAGGATGCCCCGGGGTGTAAAGGCACCCTCTGACTTGGTAGTAAAAGTCCCTCGACCGCAATATACGGCAGGGGAAGATAGCGGGCGTACTGCCTCGTTCGTCTCCCGGCCGCCATCTACCTAGCGGGTCAGCGAGGGGGTCGTCCTCTCTGAGCCACCCCGAGACCTCCTTCTGCGAAATTAAGCTTTCGCAAAATGACACCATCGTCTCCCAGCGCCTCTTAGCTCTCGCTGTCGAGCATTGTGCCCACGATAGTTGGTAGCGAGAGAGCACAGTGCACACTTAGCGTACACCCTAGGATTTTCATGTTTTCCAAGAGTTGTGAGCCTTCGTCTACATAGGGACGTTTTTCTTGAAATGAAATGAAATGAAATAATGAAATAAGTTTTATTTGCATTGAATAGGTTTTTTACAGGATGGTAGTTGTTACATTTGAGTAGGTACTGCTATTCAGCCATTATACAAAAGCATGTAAAATTTAGTCTTTTAGGTAGTCATTTACACTATAATAACCTTTTTTAATTAAATATTTATACAATTCAGATGTCATTCTTTTATATGTCAAGTTTTTTATTTCTATTGGCAACTTATTATAAATTCTCATGCACATATAATATGAACTTTTTAAGTACAGTGTAGTCTTAGGTATATTTTCAACGACAAGTCTATTTGGGTGTCTTTTCGCGCGTGGATTAACATCTATCGATTTTTTAAACAGTTGTGAATGCTCTTTAACAAATTTGCAAACTTCATATATATACATGGAAGGTAAGGTCAAAATATTTAAATCCTTAAACAGCGGCTTGCAAGATTCCCGTGGGCCAATGCCGCACATTGCTCGAATACACTTTTTTTGAGTTACAAAAGCTCGCTCTACATATGTTCCATTACCCCATATAATCAATCCGTAACGTAGTACCGACGCAATGTAGCCGTGATAGGCAAACAAGCATATTCTTTTAGAGGCAACTCGTCTCAATCCACGAAGGACGTACACAAATCTGTTTATTTTGCTGCAGATGCTGTCAATATGATTGGTAAAGCTCAGTTTTTTATCTATTAGAATACCCAAAAATTTTACTGTCTCTAAACTTTGTATGATCTTTCCATCATATTTTATAGTAATATTCATTGGTGTACGTCTCTTAACAGCAAATTGGACATATTTAGTTTTATCCAAATTCACATGTAGATTGTTTCTATTTAACCAAACTATTACAGATTTCATTGTGTCATTAATTTCGGCTTCATAATGATTGACGTCGTTATTATTTGAGTTGATGACTATTGCAATGTCATCTGCAAACATGACAATTTTGTGCTGAGTTATCAGGGGCAGGTCATTAATGTACAACAAAAATAGTAATGGGCCAAGTATGCTTCCCTGAGGAACACCAAACTTATTGAAATCATTAGTCGAACAGCATGTGGTAATATTTTTATTTTGATCCAGGTAGCTTAACTCCACCCGTTGCTGTCTGCTATATAGGTACGACTTAAACCAACTCAGTGCTATGCCCCTAATACCATATTTTTCTAATTTGGTCAGCAGTCTCTCATGTGCTACAAAATCGAAAGCTTGAGACATGTCTAGGAACAATACTGTGCTGTGTTTTTGTGTATCAAGAGCTTTGGTCACCATTCCGGCAATATTGAAAACCGCCTCAGCTGTTGATTTTCCCTTTTGAAAGCCGAATTGTTCCGGTCTTATAAGGTTGAATTTTGTGCAATAGTCTATCAATCTAATGTACATGCATTTTTCAAAAACTTTGGCTAATGTCGGGATGAGAGTAATTGGCCGGTAGTTGGATAGTTCCGACTTGTCCCCCTTCTCAAAGATTGGCTTCACTATTGATACCTTTAATACATCAGGAAACATGCCCCTTTCAAAGGATAGATTTATTAAGTATGTTAAGACTGGTGCCAATTCATTCCCGCATTGTTTTAAAATTTTTGTCGAGATTTCATCATAGCCACAGGCATTTGTATTGTTCAAAGATTGTATTATTTTAATAATGTCATAGGTTACGAACGGTTTTATGTAGAACGAATTTAATGTCATTTGTACCTCTGTTAAATTGTCATACTTATGTTTGTCAAATATAATGTTATTATCATTGGTCAAATTTATGAAATGTCGATTAAAAGCTAAAGCCATTTGTAATGGCTCTATCACTCTTGTGTTTTGTATATTTAACTCAGTTATATCCGTAATGGGTGGTTCTTGTACGTTATGGCCCTTTATAACTGCCCACGAGGCCTTACATACATTCTTGTTATGTTTAATAAAATTAGTATTATGTTTCTTTTGGGCATTCAAAATACATCTTTTTAAAATTTTTGAGTAATTTCTATATTTTACTTTATCTGTTTTGTTTTTGCTTTTGTAATACTTAAAACGTAATTCTCTTTTAATTTTACAACACTTTCTTAGCGCTTTAGATACCCATTTAGGACCACTAGTTTTTGTATTAACCTTATAACGGCGTTTGGGATAACAGAGATTATATAATAAAACGAAAATTTCATGGAAATTTCTAAACGCTACATTAATATCTGTTTCATTGAAAACATCATTAAAATTTAATGCTTTAAGGTTCGTTTGAAATTTTTTATTATTCTCCTCTGTTAGTTCTCTTTTTGTGATGTACCAAAAAGTTGTTTCTTTTGGTTTATTTCGGGGGGAAAAACTTAACACTTGGGCGGTATTGTGATCAGAGAGATAAAGGGGTAAGACGCTTCCAATACCTTCCTTTATATTGCTAATAATAAGATCTAAGCATGAGAGTTGTCTAGTCGGTTGGTCTATATGTTGTATTAGGTTGTAATTTGACATTAAATCTTTAAAATAGCGGCTGTCCACAGTATTTTCTAGAATGTTTATGTTAAAATCGCCAGTGATTATAATTTTTTTCTTTCTATGTAAGTTCGTGGCGTCGTGCAATACTGAATCCAATATTCTTAAGAAATGTGTACCAAATCTCTTACTCGAGTTATAAATGCACAAAATAATTAAATTATACGCCGGCAATTCAATACCAGAGCACTCAAATACTCTCGGCACCAAATATCTACGGAAGAAACTAAGTTCCCTAGACACAATACCACTTTTTAACAAAATACATGTACCGCCTCTTTTGTTCTCTCTACAATAACTAGACACCAAATCATAATTAAATAACTTTACATTTTTTTCCTCACCTTTTTTTATAAATGTTTCACTTAGGCAAATAGCATCAGGATGGGAGTTAAATTCAGAAATTGTGATTTCCAGCAGGTCTCTTTTATCAAAAAAGCTGGCTATGTTTTGGTGCAGCAGAATGAATTGACTACTGTGAGACACGAAAAAAATCAGAATCACCCGTTCTTCAGCGTTAGACTAGGTGTGCACTGTGCTCTCTCGCTACCAACTATCGTGGGCACAATGCTCGATAGCGAGAGCTTAATTTGTCATTTCATGAAGTATCATTTCGCGAGAGCTTAATTTCGCAGAAGGAGGCCTCGGGGCGGCTCAGAGAGGACGACTCCCTAGCTGGGATATGTAATGGAATATATAACAACAAATAATCTATTTTCACTTGGTATAATAACATTTGATATAATTTCTAAGGATATAATCACTCACTGTATATAATCAACAAAAGGTATAACAACAAAAGGCATAATTTCAATGTGTATAATAAAAATTTCACTATAACAAACATTAGATATAATGATTAAGTGACATAATGAACAAATGATATAAGTACCAATATAATATATTAAAATTAATATAACACAATATTTTTTATGATTAGTTGAAGCGTCCTACTAAAAATACTTTTTTCGTAATAAGTACTATTTATATTTTCATATACCCAGACCTCGAGTAATAAATGGTGGCGGACCAGGTTTCAACTTGGACTTAATAAAGTATCAAAACATGCATTATCAGCCACCGACAACCAACATTCTAGAACCCGATCTCACCACGACAGAGAATTCGTCCGCGTTCTGCAAATTACCAAATAATTTAGGTATGTACAAATCTCTGCGAAAAAAATAAAGACATAATTATTTTTTTTAAATTTATTTATTTATTTACCACAACTTATTAACTATCATTACAGGTTCTTACCTAATGCGATAGTAAAGCAATTTTATATTATAATATCCTATTTACCTATTTCTATCTTAACCTAAACATTATCATTACACAGTACAAATAATGCTACCCTTGTGAGTTCACTCAAAGTAGGTACAAAAGATAATAACTTACACACAGGTACAAATCAGTACAAAGTACTAAGAAAACCGAGTTTTATTGAAATCGGTTACCGGAAAGAGCTCGTAAACAAATTCATCCCTTAGTTTGCCACCCTTAGAGGTGGAATATTTTCTTCAGATTTAAATGGGACCACTACTGAGGTATCCCCTTTCCAACAAAAAAAGATTCATTCAAATCTGTTCACTAATGCCCGGTGTTATCGCGTAACACACATACCTACAAAAAAAAATATACAGACGAATTGAAAACCTCCTCCTTTTTTGAACGACTTCTTAGCAATATTGATTTTATTGAATACCTTGATGTTGTTACTACCATAATATTTATTAATTTTTTTGTGAAAATAACTAGTTTGCTATTATTATTGATACAAAGATTCGAACCAGCGTCGGTTGCCATACCGCTCTTACCAACTGCGGCTGAGTTATTTATTTATTTATTTTCAAAAGCCACACCAGCATGCATGTGCATTAATACGTTCAAACAACTTAAAACTAAAAAGAACAACCGATACAAAGCCAATTAAAGATGTAGTGTATGATGTGATGTAGATGTAATGTACACGACATTCAAAGACTAACACCTAGAAGTCAATAAAAAAAAGAGAGATTTTAGTAGAATAAAAAATAGAAAAAGTAGAAAGAATTAGACTAAATTAAAGGTAAATTATCAAAAAGAAAGTAAAGAATTAAAAGAATAACCCTAAGAGTAGGTAACAACTTCTTAGGTTTAGGAAATTAAACTACTTTTTCGGATCTAAGTAGCGTATATTTATTTTTCCAACTTGGGATCCAGTATTTAGTAGTATTTCCTCTGATTAAAAATCTCAAGCAGACATAAAATTGCAATACTAATCATAACAAAATTTTTTACTGTAATACTAGTTTAATTTATTAAAAATTATATACTATATTTCAGGTCCAATCAACGTTGACATGACAAAAGTGGAACTGGCATGGGTGGAGACCTTGTATCCGCAGGTGGAACGAGGCGGGATGTACACACCGAGCAACTGCATTCCCAAACATAAAGTTTGCATTATTGTGTCATACAGGTTGTTATAGAAAGTATTTAGGTATTGTTACTACACAAAATAGCGCGCTTCTCAGAGTTTTTTTATGATATCATATAAATTGAGCTTGATCTGGTGATAAACGACACGGCTACACGGCTTGCAGGGTCACTCAGAGCTTTAAATCGCAAAGATCTGTAGGGCACGGTTACCTATCAGTAGTCCGAAATGACATTTTCCAGAAATAACGTTTGGTCGAAATTTTATAACCTCGAAAGTAATTTTGAAAGGAAAATGGTTTGTCTTTTAAACTTTTTTTTTGTTAATTTGGGGGAATCTGCTTACGGATACCCCGGCCCCGCGGGGGCAGAGCTGGGGTTATATGGGACTGGGCTGAACCCTTTCTTTTAAACCTTTTTTTTTGTTTCTGGGAAATGCGTTAAGCGTACCGCTCGGCTCGGGGGGAGCTGCGAGCGGATATGTGTGACTCCCGGGCTCTAGCCAGGTATACACACTAAAACCCAGCGGTTAACCTCCATCGCCATAAGGAGATAGGTTCCCCCGACCCCTGTCCCCACGGCTCACTACAGCGGGGGAAGAAGGACGGCCTCCTTCTGCCTCCTTCGTCTCCCCAGCCGCCGTCTTTGAAGCGGGTCAGCGAGGGAGTCGTCCTCTCTGAGCCGCTCCGAGGCTTCCTTGCGCGAAAGTACGCTTTTGCAGAAGGAGGACATTGCATCACAACACCTCTGACTGTCGAGCATCGCGCCCTCAATGCATTGTGGGCGCGATGCTCGACTGTTGCAATGGCCGACAGCGAGAGATCTCCACCCACTAAGGCGGTCAGGGAGTGCCGCTGAGGACCCCCTGCCGCACATTCTGCCACAGTATGACGCACTGTATCGACGGGAGCGTCCCACTCGTGACAGACAGTGGTCGTCTTCCGACATGCAACCCGGTGCAGGTACTCGCCGAAACATCCATGTCCGGTGAGAACCTGCACCAATCTGTAGGACAAAAATACATATCGCCGGTAAACCCAGCGGATTAGGTGGGAACGAACTGCCTCCACCGACACTGAGCCGGCGACTGCGGACTCTAGGTCCTCCGTTCATTTTCGGATTAAGGCAACGCGGCCTGCTGCCTGATCCTCTCTAGGTCTTCGGCATTCGGCCTTTCTCCACTGGCCTGCATGGCCGTCGGTATCGGTACACTTCCGCGAGCACCTCTGCCTGGAGTTCCCAAGGAGGATCGCCCGCCAGAGGAGTGGCCGTCGTCCACGACACCGTGCGATATCTCCGGATCGCGCTCACCACTAAGAACCTCTGCGGCCTTCGCAAGAAGAGTTTGAGTCGAGCGGTGAGAGCTTCCACCCAAACCGGTGCGCCGTATAGGGCCATACTCCGGATTATTCCCGAGTACACGCGCCTGCAGACCGAGCCTGGTCCGCTTACGTTTGGCAAGAGTCGCCCTAGGGAGGCAGCGGTACCCACCACCTTCGGGGCGAGTTGTGCAAAATGCGCCCTGAAGTTCCACCTCCCATCCAGTACAAGGCCCAGATATTTCATCTAACCCTTGACTGGGATCGTCTCCCCAAAAAAGGTGATCCTTGTCACCCTAGGGCGGCCTCTGTGTGGGCCATGGAATAGGAGGGCCTCCGTTTTGTGTATGGAGACTCTCAGGCCCAACAGATGGATCCTTTCTACCAACAGAGATGTCACTACGCAGATACTACGCACTAGATGTCAACCGCGCAGCCTCTTCATAAGTCCTGCCCCGAGCAGTGACGAGGGTGTCATCTGCGTAGCAGATCACCCTCGTCCCGGGAAGGAGCGGACTGCGTAGGAGCCAGTCAAAGCCAACGTTTCACGGCATGGGGCCCAGCATAGACTCCTGTGGAACGCTGCACTCGATGCGCCCCTGGTGTAGCCTCCTGTCTTTTCCCTCCCATAGAACCACCCTGCCTTCTGAGATATGGAGGTACTCCATGGTAACGGACCGCTTCTCTCAGTGTCTCGAAAGGAAGGCTGTTGAAGGCGTTCTTGATATCAAGTTCTCTTGACGTCAAGAAGGTCAAGGTCACAGCCATGACCACCTTCCCCCTATCCACGGCGTCTGTCGTGAGACTCTTCAGAGCGTCGACGGTAGACCGTCCCGCCCTGAAGCCGTACTGGGCCGCCGAGAGACCAGGCCCCACCTCCTCGAGGTGCCTAATGAGACGGTTAACGAGGACCCTCTAGAAGAGCTTGGCCGTCTCGTTCAACAGCACAATGAGCCTGTTGGCAGGAGGCGAGTCGATTGGACGACCCTCCTTCTGCAACAGACACAGTCGACCCTGTTTCCATTGTTCTGGGAACTGCCCGCTGCGTAGGTACGTGTCGAACAGTCCCCGGAGCAACTCATTCAGGCATTCCGCTGTCAAATACAGCACCCGACTCGGGGCGCCGTCCGGTCCCGCTGCGATCTTTTTGCCCCGTAGTCGGAACAGGGCCGCTCCTATTTCTCCCTCAGTATCAGGGTGGGGCCATCATCGGGGGAGAGTGCTCAGGAGAGTCTGGGAAAAGCTCCCCTACCACTTCTTTTAAACCTAACTTAACCTAACCTAACCGAATCTAATCGTGCCTTTACGATAAACATTCAACATATCCTGTAAGAACAACTGTTTCTATATAATTCGGTTTTCGGTGTAATGAAAATTCGAACAAACGTTATTTTTCGTTCGTTGAATCTTTAAGTCTCTTTTACGAAAAAGAAGTGGCATTATTGGGTGCGGCATTATGGATGCTCGGCAACGTGTACGCAACCTCGCCGTAGCTCGCCTACGCTTATCTCACCAAACCGCATACCTCCTCGCACGTCTCTGGTGGAACCGCAGCCTTAACCTAAGAAACGGTGTAAATGCCACAATCACAGTACACACATATTTGAATTATGTGGACGTCACTGTTTTCCACTTCCTACGGTCGCAGGCGTACTAATGTCGCTTGCTACATTAGCATCACTCTTTTTGTACAAGTTCGTCTATTCCGAGTAATTTGTTAAGAATAGGCTAAAGACTTCTTTAACGTGGTTACTTTGATATCGAAACGATCATCCTTTCTTTTCCCATAGCGATATCATTAAAGGATATTCCTTTTATATCACCGTTCCTGTATCATATTTCACGCACTCTCTTGTTTTTAATTGTCGAAACATGATGCGATATTATTTTCAACACAAACGTGTTTTTTTTTCAGGGATCGCGAAGAACATTTAGCTATCTTCCTTCGTCATATTCATCCTTTTTTAATGAATCAGAAATTAGAATATTCAATTTATGTCGTGGAACAAACAGGTGAGGGTTTCAAACTCTATATACTTTCGATTGATTGATTGATTGTGTTTATTTTAAACATCAGTTGGATATCAATTGATTTACACGCTTGTTATTGAACACAAACAAGTCGGAATTGAAGATTTATATATTGGACAATAAAACTGAATTCAAGTTATTTTTCCGGATTTAAATTGTCATGACCCTGGGACAGGGCTCGAACTCGCACGTTGGTTTGTTTGAATAAACAAATATACGCAATTTAAATCTGGAAATATAGTTTCATTTCCTATGTGTAACAATCGCGAAAACCTAAGAACTCGATATGAATTCAAGTTAATAATGTACTTGGTAACTTTCATACCACTGAAATTAGAGCACAGTTATTGTGTTACAATTTCGTACCGTATTTCAGGAAATATTAAAGCCTTGTAAGTCATACCTTTAAAAATGGAAGTAAATCAATTTGCTACTCCGCGAACCCATTGAAGGTTAAATCGTGCAAAATAGGTGCGCTTGTGTTGAATATTTTTATGCAGTTAATTTTTCCACCCTCCCTATGGTTAAAATTAATAAAATAAATAACACAAGCGCAACTACAGTCACAAACAAACAACAAAAGAGAGTGGGAAAATTAACTGCAAGAAATAAATATTCAACACTGGGGCAGCTATTTTGCACGATGTAACTTTCACTGGGTTCGCGGAGTTGTAAATTAATTTACTTCCATTTTTATTAACATGGACTTCCGCAAAGTAACGCTTGAATCTATTAATTAATTGATACCGTCTGTATAATGGAGAATGCTCTAAGGAACTTTTCGAACTGGTGCCACCGTCTTGTTTCTACCATCGCTCCTCCCGCCAAAGGAGCAGAGTCCATCCCCACATCTTAGATGCCTGGCATTGTAAGTACACGCGGGCATCTCGTTCGTTCCTTCCTCGAACCTGCAAGATGTGGAATGATATTCCTAATGAAGTATTTCCTTTGCGCTATAACATGGGGCTCTTCGAAGAGCGTGTTTACAGGGTTCTCAAAGGCTCGCAACGCATAAGCAGCTCATCTGATGTTGCAAATGTCCATGGGCGACGATGACCAACTCCTATCAAATGGCGTCTCTGCTCGTTTGCCTCCTTCTTAAAAAAAAGACCATGTGATGGACCGAATAAGTCATCTGTCTGTTGGTAATCAAAATGCCTACCTAACAGATGCAGTGCCACTTAGGCCTTTAATCGCATGGATGAGACATAAAGACGTCACGCAATTTCTCTAGCACCCTTACCATTCAAACCGAAATGCAGTACCTAATGCTCACGTTACTGCTGGTAAGGTAAGAAATAGGTATGATGGCAGCGTTTCCCTAGTTGAACTGTTTTACAACGAGCTCTCCTGCTACAAAAAATGTATGTAATACATAGAGATGGCGTAAGTTAGTAATTATCAGGTTTATATAACAGGACTATATTACTAACATCATAAAAACAACTTTTAATAATTCATGATATTTTACTTTGATACAAAAATAAAAATATTTTAATAGGTCGCTCTAAACAGTGATAAGTCTGAGCAAAACGCAGGACGGGGGTGGGAGTCGCAGACTGTCAACTTATGTTTCAAGGTAATGGGCGCAGTGGCAATGCTCCTCAGTTCTTTGTGATTTGAAGCTCTGAGTGGCACTGCAACGGTAATGGACAGGCGTGTAGCTTACCATCAGACGCACGACTTGTTCGTAGCGGCACTTGATATTATAAACCAGATACAGATTTAAAAAATGTCAGAGACTGCAACAAAAACCTAAAAAAAAACCTAAAAAAAGTTTATTTTGGCCAATTTATAATATTTTGCAAAAAATCAAGGAACAAAAGTTGTTGTTTATAACGTTAGTAAGTAATATAGTCCTGCGAGAATGTTAGCATTAAAAAAGTTACGTATTAATTTGGCCTTTTTCTTACCAAATATTGTTTGCAGACAATAAAGAGTTCAATAAAGGTATGTTATACAACGCAGCGTTTTTGGAGACTCAGGTTATGAAACCCGATGGATGCGATTGCTTGATCTTCCAAGATGTGGATCTTCTGCCGCTGGACTCTAGGAACATATATTCTTGTCCTAAGCAGCCTAGGCATATGTCTGTTGTCATTAATTCACGATACAGGTAAGGAGATATTATCGAAACAGTAATTATATGTGTTTACGAAGAGATTTCTTTTTTATGATAAATTTGGTGCACATTTGACTTCCATCTCATCCGATGGAAAGCGACGATGAGGTCGGTGATGAAGCATGCACACCTAAATAATGACTATCGCTTTGAAAAGAACCAAGTTCACAGTCCGCTCCACAGCCATTCGGCATATAAATATATATAAGACAACATCTAATACGTTGCTCCGATCCCAAAGTAAGTAACTAAAACACTTGTGTTATGGAAATAGGAAACAACGACGGCACCACAAGCACTCAGGCCCGAGACAATTTAAAAAAGTTACTTCATCTACGTTGACCCCGCCGCGCGCCGGTGACCGAACCCGGGACCATGAACACCGTCGTCATATATAAATCACATAAAATAATGAAATCTTGTTAATTGAACCACACCCACACACGCACACCCTTTTTAATGAAGAACTAATTTCATCGAAAGGAGAATTTTTAATTATTCTACGATATTCCAAATTTTCAATGATGGCCCTGATGAAAAACTTCGTTTTATAATAATAATTGCATGTTTTATTATATAAGTATTCAAATATATTATCGAGTAATTATTGAATAACATTTCGCGAACTCGAATATTAAATAATATTGCATGATAAAAAAATCTCAGAATAAGTCTGAGAACGACCGCAATCAGTTCTCAGACTAGGTAACCCTGTACTTTGGGCGCTGATGACGATCCTCCGACAGTAAACAGTCTTAAAAACATTTCACAACCGGAAAAAACAAAGTTTATAAAAATAATACTAAGAGACAGAACTCACGAAGCGGTTTTGACCCGCGCCCGCTGCGGTTGCGGGACAGCTGTTTTATTTCAACACTCACGATACTGCAGGTTTGTGCGGTCACGTTGCCGCCGCGGTTGCGGAACGGCCCGCAAACTTGGCGGAAGAGGATCGCAAGGCGCGCGGTTATTTACGATTGATTGAGATCGTCGTTGCCATGGACTCACATCAAAAACGAGTTATCTCGTTATACTTCATCGAAGAATTTAAAGAAGAAGGCCTAACAGATTCAGGGTGCATCCTCTGATTCCGGAAAGAAATCGTTACGGATTATTCGTTGTTCTTGTATTAATGAGTTAAAAAACAAGAAGACAAATTCTTTAATTTGTTCGGATGTCCGTATCTACTTATTCAGAACTTTTAAGTAAAATGGTAACTGATAGGAAATTAATTGATCGACTTCAACATTCGTAACTTGAGAAATTGACACGCGCTGCCAAATCGAAAATCAATCACAAAATGGCGTGGGAACGAAAGACCAAACCCGGGAGCGTGCAACGCGTCGCCCGCGAACCGACCGCAGAGTGCGCAGGGTGACCGCGTCCCGCGCGGTTTGCGGCCGCCGCGAGCAACCGTCTCCGCTGCGGGCGTAAAACGCGTCGTGAAATGTGCTACTAAATTTTGCATACATTTCTACATCTTTACGCACACACTATAATAATAACGCACACACTCAACATAGCCCCGCACTAGGGAAGCCCTGTGTCGCGGGTGCCATGGACACACACATAGACAATCTCAAATTACACCCAAACTCACGAGAGAAATAACTGTAGGCCATACAATATTTCTCCCGGCCCGGGAATCGAACCTGGGACCTCTGCTTGGCAGTCCGGCATGGTAACCGTTCGGCCACGGAGGCAGTTAAAACCTACCTACCTTCGAACCTTTAAACCTACTTTCGAAGGCCGCGGTCCCGCAACCGCGGCAGTCGCGGGTGAAATTCGCTCCATGAGTTCTTAGCCTAAGAATAAGTTCAATGAAGAAAGGTTGCTTTAAAAAATTCTCATTAGAGTGGGGCAGACGCCCTAGACTTTGTCCTGCGTCTAAAAAGGGTGAATGGTTGGGGTTTTGGCTTACGGAAGACTCATACCAGGGAACACCATACCCACACCAAGCAATAGGACGCGTTGATAGTGCTGCATTGATTATGTAGATGTCGGCAAATACTTTTATCGCCGTTATATAGAAGACGTTATATCTACCAGCAAAGTTGAAGCAGTCCCAAAACAGTTTTCACTGCAAGCAAAGATTGTAGCTAGTCCCGTGCCTTATTTTATTCACCTTTTTTTGTTTAGACCTTTAGCTTATTATAAAAATATGACCTAGCCCTTAAACGCAATTAACCGCTATTGACAGAAGTTATTTAAGGTGGTAACACATCGACTTTGTGGTACTTTGTAACCTTGGTATAATAAAGCGATTTGTGATCATACTTAGTAATAACGCCCTACCCTATATCGCGGGTGCCATGGACACACACATAGGGTCGTATTCCAGAACTCTACTCAATGCTCAAGTCAGGATTGCACTGGCAACACAGGCACTGGAAATACGACCCTAATGGCAGGGACTTGAGTATGATTTCGAGTGCTTTAAACCATACTCAAATCCTGACTTGAGCATTGAATAGAGTTCTACAATGCGACCCATAGACAACCACGAAATAAATAAATGTAGGCCATACAACGGTCATTCTCGGACTAATAACTGTGGCAACGTTTGTGTAATTATTAAACATTATTTCACAATACAATATTCGAATATTAAATAATATTGCACGATAAAAATAGAATAGTTCAATAATAAAAATTACCACGGTTATTTGGTAGTGAACACTAGTTGTAAAATATTTCGATTGATCGAACCCGGGACCTCTACGTGGCAGTTCAGCATGTTAATTGTTCGCCTACGGAGGCAGTTATTTCAATAGTCCTTTTATCACATTAAATTCATAAAAATAATACGAACTACAATAAACAATGTATTATGTGAAATTTTGTACCTCCCCTTCAGCCTTATTTAATCGGCCAATATAACGTATGTAAGGACAGTATGCGACACGTGCTACTTTGTAACCGACCACTCCATTTTTAAAATATAAATAATTCCAGCACCCGCTCTCTATGTGTATCATGCTTAAGGGTTTGATTTTATAATGTTTCAGGTTTATTTACGATGACAATAATTTCGGAGGTGTATCAGCGATAAAATACGAACAGTTCGTAGATATTAATGGTTACTCCAATCAGTATTGGGGTTGGGGTGGGGAGGACGACGACATATCTATACGGTTTGTACCATTTGTAATACTAATATTGACTGTTACGTTTAGACATCAATCTTTCATTTTTTACCCCAAGTTCTCCTCATTTTTAACCGACTTCAAAAAAGGCGGAGGTTCTCAATTCGACTGTATGTTCTTTTTTTTGTATGTATGTTACGCGATAATTCCGGTATTTGTGAACCAATTTTCATGATTCTTTTTTTGTTGGAAAGGGGGTACTTTCATAATGGTCCCATTTCATTTTGAAAATCATCTACCTCTGAGGGTGGCTGTTCAAGCATGAACATTCATTCTTATAAATAGCGCCTAAACTTTAATTTAGGAGCAATTATTTTAATGGTTGATTTTGCTGTTTCTCCAATTCAAGGCGTTATTCTCTCAATATACTTTGAGTAGTGAGAACCGATTTTTATTATCTCCAGTGTCAAGTCCTGTATAGTGGCGAACTAGGGGATATTTCAATAAAATTTAGCAAATAGACATAATTCCACGTACTTTTGAGGTCGGTTTTTTAAGTACTCTGTACTGAGATTATACCAAATAACACATTTTAAAAACTTAAATCGTTCCCATTGTATAATAAAACCATATGTGAGAGAGTCACCCAAACTTAACTATTTCTGTCGCCAAGCATTACTGCGTTCCGATTTTGAAGGGTTAGCGCTTTGATACACTGAACTCGAGACCATACAAATCGAATCAGATTTTGCAATTTAAAGCTCTGGATAGGATGTAACTGTTATGGGTAGGCGTGTCGTTTACTACCAGGCGCACGACTTGTTCAACTGTTACTTGGTATCGTAAACAAAATTACGTGAAAGAATAGATGTAAGTATATGTGAAATTTGCTATTTGAGCATAAAAAAAAATCGTCTAATCTCATTCGAAGAAACTCTAAACATTTCTCCTGAAAATTTGTAATTTTGCAGATGTGACCAAGTGACCAAAGGTGCCAAGTAAGCACGTACAATATTTATCCTTTGATGGTTACCTTTGAGGATAGAAAAATAAGTGAACACCCGCCGATGTCAAGCATTTTGTAATTGCATATTTAATTAAACTTGAAGCTCCTTTCGCCAAAGAATAACAATGCAAATCTCGACAGAAGAATGTTTTGGTATAACTAACTTCAAAAACATGCTTTGAAATAGCAAATGAAAAGAACGGTTTTACATATTAAGCTCTGCCTAACTTCCCTTTTGTGTATGTCCTATGTAAATTTCTCACCCTTAGTGTAATAAGGTCACATAAGCTAATTGACAACTTTTCTTGAGAGAGGTTTAGAAATTCTACGAACGAAATTAGTCGGTTACTTATTTATGCTTATATAGGAGATATGTTATAATTATTAATACAAAGATCGAACACTTAGGAAGAATTCATTCGATCCGGTTGGATTTGAACAAACGTCTTCTAGCCAACTGTGCCGTTGCTACGGTAAAGTCGTTAAAATAACAAAAACAAAGAACGCAACAAGCACATAGAAAAATTCGCAAGGTCTGTTGGTTCGTTCCGTGACTTATTAATTTAATAGCGTCTGGCATGTTTTACTGGAAGACGTTACTTCGAATCCAGCTTGACCGAAGGATTTTTTCCAAGTCTATTTTTAATAAAGTTACAATTTGAAGTTATTTATCGAGTTCTTAGGTTTTCGCGATTGTTACACATAGGAAATGAAACTATTTTTCCGGATTTAAAACGCGTATATTTGTTTTTTCAAACAAACCTACGCTACGTTTCGGGCCCTTTACAGATCCCATGGTCACGGTTGACGGTTGAAGTTATTTATTAATTAACTCAGTTTTTTTGTTATCCTGCGTGGCAGTTTATTAGTGGTTAGTGGGATATAACACAAGAGGACTGCTAATCGCGGTACATTACAGCGTAGTCGGGTATTTAGTACCGATAGGTACACCAGATGTCGCGACGAGTACTAACAGACGAGCTGCAATTTATCAAAGTTACGTACTCTTATATAAAGTTACCCAAATGAACTAGATGTCGCTTATTACACATATTTTTATGGATACTGCTAGTTATTAATTTGTTTTATTTAGGATTAGCGCCATCTACCCATATTAGCAAGCGTTTAATTTTTAAATTAGTTTGTAAATGCCATTTGTTGTCTGTTGCTTATTTGTGAAAGTTCAGAAAATAATTTTAGCTCATGATCAATGTTTGCATAATATTACAAAGACATCATCCATGAACCCAAATGGGTTGATGGATATTATTATTATTATATTGGGACGTATAAATATACGTCACACTGCTGGGTACTGGTCTCCTTTCAAACGAGGGTTTAGGTCATAGTCCGCCACGCTGGCCCAATGTGGGTTGGAGACTACACACGTTTTCTGAGGGTTGTGAACCTTCTTCGATGTGTAGGTTTCATCACAATGTTTTCCTTCGCCGAAACTCTTGGTAAATTTCAAATTAAATTTCGCACGTGAATTCCGTGAAACTCAGAGGTGCGAGTCCGGATTCGAACCCACGACCCTCTGCTTAAGAGGCAGTAGGTCAAACCATTAGACTACCACGGTTACAAAGAAATAAAACGGCCTAAAGAGGAATTAATATACATATCCACGGCCATTTACGTAATATAAACTACTTCGAACGTAAAGGAAACTGCAGTATTTTGGCCACGTAACGAGGGGCAAGAGATGCCGGTTTCTTCAACTAATAATGCAAGGAAAAATACAAGGAAAGCGTAGTCGTGGCAGAAGGAAACCTCGTGGTTGAAGAATCTAATAGACTGGTTCCACCTTAGCACATGTTCCTTCTTTCGTGTGGCAGTTTCAAAAATTAGAATAGCCATGATGGTCCCCAACCTTCGCAAAGAAGACGCATACTAACAAGAAGAAGAACCTACTTCCAGGCTATCGATAAGCGCCATCTAGGTGGTAACATATCACAAACTCGAAATCGAATTACAACCAATCCGTTGTTCTTTCAGCATATGTTGCATGTTTATCACAAAGACACGATTAGGTTCGGTTAGGTTAGGTTCGGGCCGGCCGATGGCGGTAGGCTAGCCCGAGGAGGAGGGCGTTCTGGTCACCCGGACCGCGCGGGGAGAGACGTGTCGGTGTGTCGTTCCCACTCGTCCTCCGCGACCCAGACGTGTCGGTGCGTCGTTGCCGCTCGTCCTATCCTCCGGGGCCGAACTTGGGCGGTAGGCCCGTGGTGGGCGCTCCAAGGGACTCTCTTGAGAGTCCGCGCGGATGTGCGTTAGGTGTTGCGGCGGAGCCTACCATCAGATCCGCCGCGGGGGCTGGGGGAGCAGCCACTGAACTTCACAGTTGAGTGGATGCCGTCCTGGCGTCCATGCAGGGGCCATGCGGGGCCAGGGTCCCTGGGTAGCGGACTCGGGGGAGTTCGTTGCCCAGCAAAGAGGGGCCTGGGGTAGAAGGCTCGTCTGGTATTCGACGAGCCTCACATTCGGATTCGGGGATGTGTCCCTTCTCGAGGAGGGGCTGCGCAGGGCGCTGCCAGCCGCTGGTGGGGACGCGGCGGAGAGGAGAAACACCTACAGCGGAGTGGAGGAATACTCCGGGGGATTAGTGCGGTTGGGTTGCGCCCCTTCAGGGTTCAGTCCAGTCCCACATAGCCCCGGCTCTGCCCCCGCGGGGCCGGGGTATCTGTAAGCAGACTCCTCCGGATCAACAAAAAAAAAGGTTTAGAAGAAAAAACACTATCCTCTTAAAATTACTTTCGAGGTTATGAAAATTCGAGCAAACGTGATTTTTGGAAAATGTCATTTCAGACTATGATAGACTATGATTGATAGATAACCCATCTAGGTATAAGACTTCATTTTCATCATTTTCAGAGTTACGATGTGTAGTATGGAGATTAACAGTCCTATTGAGTTATTAGTCCATGATTACATCAATAGAGCTAATTTAATGTGTGCCGCCGTATAAGGGGCGTAGCGGGCGCGTACAAACCACGCTGCTACGTTTGTATGGAGTTACCATACTTGTCTTATTGTACTTATACTAAGGCGTTACTTTGCGGAAACCCATGTTCAACAAAATGGAAGTAAATTACTTTGTTATTGTTGTTTGTGAAGTAACATGTTTCGAACAATCAACAACTCCTGTGGATGCCATGTAGAGAGGCGAACGTGTCGTATAGGTATATTTTTTAACCGACTTCAAAAAAGGAGGAGGTTCTCAATTCGACTGTATGTTCTTTTTTTTGTATGTATGTTACGGCATTTGTGAACCAATTTTGATGATTCTTTTTTTTGTTGGAATGAGAGTACCTATGTATTGGTCCCATTTAAATTTGAAGAAAATATTCCATCTCTAAGGGTGGCAAACTAGGGGATGAAACCGGTTTCGCGCACTTTCCGGTAACCGATTGCAATAAAACTTGGCAAATAGATGTAATTCCACGAACTTTCTTAAAAAACTTCACACGAACTTTCTTTTTTTAAAAAGTTGTAGAGGTGGTGTTTTTGTGACTGTAGTTGCCCTTATATTTTATGCGGAGAGACGGTGGGAAAATTAACCGTATGAAAAAAATATGCATATGTATAACACAAGCGCAGCTATTTTGAACAATCTATTTAACGTTCATTCTCGGACTAGTGTTCACTACCTAATTTCCGTGGTAATTTTTATTATTTAAGATTTTTATCGTTCAATATTATTTAATATTCGAGTTAGCGAAATATTATTTAATAATTACACGACATTATACTTGAATATTTAAATACGGAAATTAGGCAGTGAACGCTACTTGACTGGGTTCGCGGAGTAAGAATTAATTTACTTTCATATTTATTTACATGGATTTTCGCAAAGTAACGCCAGAATCTATTAATTATAATTGCATACTCTAGTAAAAACAGTAAGACTTCTTACAGTATTTACAAAATCTAAGAGACATTTTAAAGAAATTCTATTTATTTATTTATTTATATACTCACGCCCTCAGAATCCCACTGGGGTTAGCAGAGACTATCGATTGCCACTTAGTACGATACTTACAAACTTCTCTTGCTTCACTTACATTCGTCAATCTTTTCATACAAGCCCTCTTATTCCCACTACGCACTCCAGCCTTCTTAAGAACAATCTCAATTTGATCAGAGAATGGACGGCCACAAAAATGTGGCCGTCCTCTTCCAAAAGGAAAGAAGAAATTCTACAATCTTTGAAATGTTAACTTTATTGAACATCACGATGTTTTACTATAATGATTTTCAATTAGTTTTTGTGAAATTACTCCACTAGTTTGTTATAATTATTAATACAAAGATCGGACACTAAGAAACGCTTCTTCGAACCGGCTGTATTCAAACCAGCGCCTTCAACATACCCTGGCTGACGCTCTCCCAACTGAGCTACAGAACGAACCTATAGACCTTACGAATTTTCCTGTATGCTTGTTGTAGATGTCAGGCACGGTATGTTGAAGGCGCTGGCTCGAATGCAGATGGATCGAAGGAATTTTTCTTAGTGTTTGATCCTCAATCAATTCTAAAACCTTTCGAGTTCTTAGGTTTCCGTGATTGTTACACATAGGAAATGAGTTAGTTTACTTTATTTTTAGTTTGTTCAGTTTCTTCGTCAGCGAACTACACCGCCGCCGCCACCCTCAGTAAGCATGTCGAAAACGGTAGTCAAAACGAGAAAACAGATAGAAAGAACAAAACAATAAAAAGGTAATTAAAATTTTCAAACAAACCAACGTTTCGGGCCCTTTACAGGTCCCATAATACAGTTTATCTCTTTACAGTCAACCGTGACCATGGGACCTGTAAAGGGCCCGAAACGTTGGTTAGTTTGAAAAAACAAATATACGCGATTTAAATCCGAAAAAATAAGTTTCATTTTCTAAAACCTTTATTTACTTTTTTATTGTTTATTCTTTCTATCTGTTTTCTAGTTTTGACTATCGTTTTCGACATGCTTACTGAGGGTGGCGGCGCTGGAGTTCGCTGACGAAAAAACTAAACAAACTAAAAAGAAAGTAAACCAGTTCTTGACAGTCGTCTTCATAAAGTCTCAAATTCATTTAATGGGTAAGGTAAGGGTATTACGCTTCTATAAGATTCCGATTTATACTCAAAATTTGTCATTGACGTGGTTTAAAACTACTGTGAAACAAAAACTTTGTAGTAAAGGTTTATTATACAGTTTCTGCGTACTTGGATGACAAAAATCCGTGGCAGTGACCCTGTTTAGCTTTTTCAAGTATTCTCGATCTAAGATGTTGAAATTAAATATTGTAATGATAAATGTGTTGAAATGTACATTTACAAAGAGCAACCCCTAGAGTTTCTTACTCATTCTCCTCAGGGGAATCTGCCTTACGTTACGAATGAGCATATATATATTTTTTTTATATAATAATAAGTAACAGGATGAACAAGTCGAGTGCCTGGTGGTAAGAGACACGCCTGTCTCTAACAGATGCAGTCAAATCAAAATCAAAATAATCTTTATTTCATAGGTAAGCATTATTACACTTGAAATCGTCACACAGGTTAAACTCTACCGTTCACTATGCCACTCAGATCCTCAAATCACAAAGATCGGAGAGGCACTGCCACTTCGCCCGTCCCCCTGAGACATAAGTTAACAAGCCCCATGTGCCTGTAATTTCACCAGCACTCTTAGGCTCAACTCACACTGGCGCAGAGTCGAAGCGTCACGTCGTGTCCTGTTTTTCAACTCCACCGCACGTCGACTCGCGTCGCCGCTCGATTCCATATTTGCAAAATACAAATTTGTACCTTAATAATTGGAAAATATAGATGAATATGCTATAGGCGAAAAACATGACGCGTCGCGATGCTTCGACTATACGCCAGTGTGAGTTGAGCCTTACCCTTTAAAATCGGACCGCAGTAATAACTAAAACTGGGTTATGGTTTTTTATGATATCTCAAAAAAATATTTTGTCACCGCGTTTTAGTTAGCAGTTCTACTAAAGTAGAATAGTAGAGTTTAATCAGTGTGACGTTGTCAAGTACAATTTGCTTACCTATGAAATAAAGATTATTTGACTTCGACTTCTACCTTCTTAAATGGGCCGTAGCGGCAGCTAGTCGCAAACATTTAAATTTATTTTATTTTTTCAGGTTAAGACACAAAGGCTACTTTATATCGCGATATTCAAAGTCTATAGCTCGGTACATAATGCTACCACATGTGAAGAGGAAACCTGTTCTTGCTAAGTTGGATATATTTTATTTTAACACCGCAACGTAATCAAATTTATGAACGCGACATATTTTCCATGTACATTCAACAGCACGTAGCTTAGTTGACATTGTTAACAGTATTGGAACCCGTACCGTGCATAATTTTGTTTAAACAGGATTATTTGCAAAAAATAATAACAACATCGTAGGACTATTTTACTAACATCATAAATTATAAATGTTGTTGAAACATAATAAATTAACCAAAAATATACTTTCACCTCACTAACTCGGAAAGGCTTTCATTCTCATTAGAAATCTGCTCAAAAGCGTTTATTCCACGCTAGCGTGGAAAAGGTTTTTGAAATTCGAACTTG